AGGCAGGCAGGAAGGCAGGCAGGCAGGAAGGCAGGAAGGCAGGAAGGAAGGCAGGAAGGCAGGAAGGCATGCTATGAAGAACAGTAGTTTCTAATAGTTCCACATCTCTCAACTCATAGAAGTTCAAGCATTTAATTCACAGTAGGGTTCATTTATACTTTCTGATAGCACAAAAATATTCAACAATTTATCCTTTCCCCTTTACAGATGAGTACTTAACGTTAGACATATTTTACGTCACCATTGCAATATTTTTTTTTCTTCCTCCCTAAGTATAGGATGGTACAATCCCTTAAAAAATTCTGTTTCAAAGTAATGCATTAATTACGCAAATGGAATGCCATACAAAAGCAGAGGACAAGCAACAACCTGTCACAAAGGGCAAGCACTGTGCTACATTACTTACTGCTGCAACCCTGTAATAAAGTTGCTCAGTCTCTTTGCAGTAAGCACAAGGTGAACTATAAAACTAGCAGAGCTCTCTCAAAGGTCTGTTGGCAAGATGCTACAAGAACAATAAATGTGTTAAATGAGGAATAAAACTTGCTCCAAACAGCCTGTAATACACTACAGACACAAACACCAAAAGCTGTAAAAATTACAACATTCCACCCGAGGAAGAAGCAGAAAAGATCAAAGACACTGCCAGTGGCTAAGGTCTAGGCTGCACAATAAAGGAAGGCCATTTCATAGAGGGGGAGTGGAGTGAGTGGCCATGTGGCTGGTTCTTTGCTGTGTTGGGCCCAAACCATGACATTAATGGTGAGCCAGCTAGGAGAGAGTCAAGGAACTACGACATTGGCAACCATGAAGGGACAGAGACTAGCATATAAATAAGGAGAGGTAATAGGCAAAACATGGACTAAAGTAAGACTATGGGGAATTTTTGTTGTTAATATTGTGGTAAATGGATTAGGGGGTGGATTGTGTGTAAATTACTCTTTTATATGTGGTATCATGCTGCTATCATTATTTTGATGTGGGGGGTTTTTTGGGATGCAAGTGAAACTCGTAAAAACTTTTGGGCTGAATCCAGATTTCTGATAATGATTGTCTCGTATGTGATTCACAGAGGCGAGGGGTGCAATCAGAGTCCACAGGCAGCAAATTTTCTGGCCACAAAATCCAAGTCCAGTGGCCAAGTTCACCCCTCCTGGTGCCTTCAGGGAATGTTCCTCCATGTTGCTCCATGAGTGCAGGGGCACAGCTGCCATCTCGCCATGGGTTGCAGGGAAACTTCTGTCAGGGCACCTTCTTCCTCACCAACCACCAGCACTGCTCTCCTTCCCCAGCACTGCTCTTCTCCCAAGTGCCTCTCTGCTCAGGTGTTACAGCTGTTCTTTCATATGTTAATCGCTGAAGCACATCTACTGTCCCTCTAATGACTCCTTGGCTGGGTTTGGAGCACGGGAGCTTCTGAGCCTCTTACCAGAGCCACTCCTGTGACCCTTCCCCCGCTACCAAAAAAACTCACCAAACCAAACCAGAACAACAACAGCCCCCCAGAGATGTCCAGAATGGAGGTGCCTCACCTAGGGATGGAGGCTAAAACGCTCCCTCCCCAGCCCACAGAAACCCTGACCAACACTCCTTCCTGACCCCAACTCTACATACCATTTCAAATCTCACCAAGGCAAGAGAAAATTTTCTGTACCACTAAAGAGATGATCATGTAATTTCTCAGCCTTGACTGTGGTCAACCAGTAGCTCTTCAGATGATACACATCACCATTCAAAAGCCAACTTCTCCATCCAAAATAAGAAAAAATGCCTTTTTCTCTAAAAAGAATCAGAAGAAACTCCACAGCACACCAGTTCACTGCAGCATGACAAAAACAGCCAAGACAGAAAGCTAAGAGCTAAGCTGCTCTAAGGCTCTCTGCCACTGAAGGGCCAGGCTTTGTGCCAATACCTCTCCTCTCCAGATGCCCACCCACATGTTCCCACCACCTCCCATGCACTACAGCCTCGAGGGACTTCAAGGACTACCAGATCATGAACCACACCAAGAGCAGGGTGCAGATTCCTCTAGAGATCAAGCTTCCAAGCTGGCCCTCTTGCAAGGTCATCAGGGCTACCAGCTTAAGCACACGGAACAAGGAAAAATGTGCACTTTGGGGAGGAAGAAAACAGCAGGAAGAAGTCCAGGAAAACTCTTTTTGGCAATGGCTTTCTCTTAGGTAAATTCTAAAGATGTAACACCTAGTTCAGTCCTTCAGCCATTAACAAAGGCACTCAAAATCTAAAACCTGAGCTTCTAATTCTAGAGTCAGGATCAACTCCCATCCTCTCTCACAATCAATTCCACTCACTTACCAGTTCCAATATTCAGCCACCAGAAAGGCTGCTGTGGCCTGCACTACCCTCCCAGCTTCCATCACCCCAAGATCAGGGAACCTGAATATACCTTTCCTTGCAGTTCTGATACTTTTATACCTAATACTATACTTTCTCTACCTAAATAAAAAACTTATTTTCATGAATGTTTAGACTGATTTTTCTACCTCTAAAATCCCAATTATTGTAACATCTATGAAACTTTCCTGAGGAGGACAGCAGTGGAAGCACAAGGAAGAGCTTAGCTTCCTCCCCAGGTTGCCAAATCACAACTGAGTCAGTGCTGCCTGTACCTACACCTCCTCCAGACACAGCAGTGTCAGCTGGAAATGTCATTACTCTTTGTTACTATCACCTGCTAAAAGGCACAGAAGACATGTCACCAAAATGACCATCACTTAAATAATTTAACCTTCTTGTGATCAGTAATCATTACAAAACAAACAGACATGCAACTAAAAGGGCAGACTGTAAGAGATCACAGAATCGTAGGGGTTGGAAAGGACCTCAAAAGATCATCTTGTCCAACCCCCCTGCCAGAGCAGGATCACCTACAGCACATCACACAGGAAGGTGTCCAGGCAGATTTTTAATGTCTCCAGTGAAGGAGACTCCACAACCTCTCTGGGCAGCCTGTTCCCGTGCTCTGTCACTCTCACAGTAAAAAAGTTTTTTCTGATGTTTATGTGGAACCTCCTGTGTTCCAGTTTGCATCCATTGCCCTTGTCCTATCACTGGACATCACTGAAAAAAGCCTGGCTCTGTCCTCCTGACACTCGCCCTTAACATATTTTTAAACACTGATGAGGTCACCCCTCAGTCTCCTCCAAGACCCAGCTCCCTCAGCCATTTCTCATAAGGGAGATGTTCCACTCCCTTCATCATCTTTGTGGCTCTGCGCTGGCCTCTTTCAAGCAGTTCCCTGTCCTTCTTGAACTGTGGGAGCCGGAACTGGACACAATATTCCAGATGCAGACTCACCAAGGCCGAACAGAGGGGGACGAGAATGTACCTCGACCTACTAACCACACCCTTTCTAATACACCCTTGATCTCAACCTTCAGTCAAAAACATGTGGCAGGCAGTAACTGCTTCTGCTGGCACAGTTGCAGACACAAAAGATAAACAGATGCACAATGGTAGCCACAACTGCTAGGAAGCTTTAGGCAGATCATTCCTGTTAATGTAGGACAGTTGACTTTC